GGCAATAATGTGTGACATTAATGGTATATTGTATGTTAGACTCACCGAACGTGATCTGCACCCCTCACGCCGCCTGGTATTCGGACGCCTCGTCGACGGAACTGCGAGAGAGATGTGTTGAGTACAATAGCTGAGACAGTATTGACTGATTTGAAGAAATGGACGGGTCTTATATAGTGGACGGATAGGCCGTAAGAGTGTGTTCTGGTTATTACCGGTTGAACCAGAGTTGGTGCACAACAGGTATTGATTGAACAGGGTGTCTATTTCTACACAACATTTATAACTAAATACTAATTGATTTGAAAGGATTATTGCGTTTGAGGGATCAGTTGAGGTGATAATTTCATCATTCATAAGATTATCCACATCTTTTGCTGTCATAACTACATCCCGCATGTGATCACTGGTAGGCATTCAAAGTCGTTGTACACAATTATCGACCATTAAATCATTGCAATTATTACTTCTATTATATACCGTATACTGTTTTGAATCAATTGTTTAATTCATTAAAGAAATAAAATTTAACCAAAAGTGTGTTTGAGGTTCATCTTAAACATAAATCCTGTCGGCATTCCAGCGATCCATTGGCCACCAGTCAGACGTACCTCTTGTAAACACTGATCCATGGATTTGTCTGTTTTACGCCACCATATTTATTTACTTAAATTTTAATTCAAAATCAATTCATTTGAAAATTGCATTTATTTTTACATAATTTAAGTCAATTTTTTAAACACTTAATACAAAAAAAAGTCTAATTATATTCAGAATTGGATCGAAATGTTTATAAATTTGCAAACAATTGGAATATTACTAAATCTAATAATCACTCAATTCCTACAGAATTTATAAAATTCTTACAAATATGTGTTTTAATTGATTATGAATTGAATACAAGAAAAGGGTTGAGAGAATCGATGGAAACATTTAACAAAAGACCATTGAATGTGTTGTTTGGGAAAGCGATTACATAACAAACACTTTCTCCGCCTCTTTCATGTCAAACACTTCCTTAGTTCGCGGACACGTTATGCGTCCGCCATTATCGGCGGCCATCGCTCGCAGACTCTGTTCGCCGTAAACGTAGCCATTGGGCAACACTAGCGGCAGATTGTGTTCATTGAGCGGTTGACCCGATATGTAGCAAACGAGCCGCGACTGCGAGCAGTGAGCGCACGGCAAATGTGCGGCCAATTTGTTCAAAAGGTCGCTACAAACGGGACAATCGCCGTTCTTATCGCCGTCTTTCTTATAACAGTGCGGTGTCTTCAGCGACGACAGACCCGCCTGTAGTGCCACCGAAAACACAGACGTTGTGCTCAACTGATAGAGACGGAAGTTATCGGTGCGGAACTGTTCGATGAGTTGATCCCAACGGCTCTCGTCAAAGAGGGATTTGTACGGTTCGATAGGTGTGTCGGGGGGAAAGGCCAACAAACCCATCACCCGCTGTAAGTCGATATTCTGGCCGCTCTGGCAGTCCTCCAGATTGTTGAAGTGTTTGCGCGCGTGTCGGACGGCGTCCAGCCGTTTGTCTTTGCGGACCAATTCGATGAACTCCTGCTGTCGGAGACGCATCTCCAGCGACGACTTAATCTTCCGGAGCTTAGACTTGTTGTCGTGACACCAACTCAGGCACCGGTAGGTCTCGCGTGCCTTCAATGAGTCCTCCACTTGTCTGGAGACCAGAAAGAGGTCAATGTTTGTGAGGCTCTCGATCTGCGAGTGAAGCGCCAAATTGATGGCCGAATCGTAATAACCCGACCGCAGGAAGTGGTCCACAAGCATGCGATCCAATCGTTTCTTACGCCACTGCGCGACAGCCGCGTCGTTCGCACCGCCGGCCCCACCACTGCTACTACCACTGCCGCCACTCTTGAGACAATAGTCTTTGAGGTGTTCCAGTCGTTTCTTGCACACCTGCGCGGCGTCCAACTCGTCGGTCAGCGACTCGTTTGACTTGCGCTTCAATACCGACAGTTTGCTGACCACACCGTTCAACAACTCGTTGATGGCTGTGATGGTGACGCCCGGCGGCGACCGATCGTCCGACCGCTGCTTCAGTGTGCGCTCCAAATCGGACACCGAGTTCTGGACGTGCGATATCTCGCGGTCGATGTTCTTCTGGGCCGCGCGGAACTTCTTGTTGAGTATCTCATACGGAACTTTGAGGGTCTGGTGTTCCATAGCCTTCATGTCCGATATGGCGCCCGACGCCCCGCCCGCAGCCGTCGCCAGCGTTCGCGACAACGAGTAGTCGCGTTGGGCCGCAGCCGACGACGACGACAGGGATGTGCTTTCGGCCAACGATGTGGTCAGACGGAGCAGTTCGCTGGTCATGTTGTGAGCCGTGAAACTCATTGTCGATTCGCGACCAAACACTACGAGTGGACGACACGCGAGAGGAAGTGGTAAATATCATTGACAAGCATTTGCTAAACCATTTGTTACTCACATTTGGTGTCCCAAACCTAAAGACCAAATCAAATGTAAACAACAAAAACACACAAAACAATTGCAGACAGAGATTGCGATTAGTTTTTTTGGCACAACTGACGCCTCCCGGGAGGGGTCGGGCGTTGCGATGGCTTGCGATTAGACCACGAGTTCAACCATTAAAGGAGTTGTCAATTGAATTGAATACAGGTTTGAATTGAATGCAAATCACAACAAATCAATTGATTTTCTCATTCAAAACAAATACTCTTTAAAAATGTCTTTACATTACGAGAGCTGACGGAGCAATCAATAGAGGGGTCGTTCGCATACGACGTACGCCTATAATAAACGCGTTGCGAACTCAACCCTTTGGTTACTATTAAATACACTGAACACAACACGAGCTAAAACAGGGGGCGAATAAATGCTCACAAAATACATCTAAACTTATATAAACATTACATTTGAAACACAATTAAAAACACGGCATAAACTAAACGCCAAACTAAACACACATTCATTAATATATGAGTAAACTGGAGGGGGAGTGGGGGTCAGGTGTATGGGCGCGGGGGGTGTGAAACCTAGGATAGGGGGCTGCGAGTGTACGCAAGGTGTATACGGCATATACAGTGCATTCCTAAGCCATAGCCGCACAGCACCTGCGCACTGCTGGCACTGAACGCACACTGACTGACACCACTGCACACAACACACAGGCATTGATAGCCGGGTTTGTGCGGTCTTATGGGGAGAGCTCTCTATGGCTGGCAGTGAATGAATAGAGTGGGGACTGACTGTACAGTAGTACTACTGGCTGTACAACTGGTATACGCTTATAGTGTGTGTGTGTTATAGTGTGTGCTGTAATCGTATGTCTGTATTGTATGGCATATCGTATGCATAGTATTGTCGCAAAATGTCGGACGAAGTCTTTGTTTGAATGCATCGATTCATTGGCTGTAAACACATCCCACTGTGTCTTCACTACACACTCGTTGACAATCACTGACCGCCACATCAGCCGACTATAGTGTCCACACGAAGACAGTGTCCCACCGATTAGCACCCGTTTGGACGGCCACCGCATCGACCGCTCAAAGCGCTCGCAAACACCGGACTCTCTCTCACTCTCTCTCTCTCTCTAAACATAACAAACATTTGTTATATTAGTTTCACATAACATATACGCGAAGACAGAGGCCGTGAAGACAAACTCTGCAGCGAAAATAGCGTCGATATCGTCGTCCATCTCTTCATCGCTGCTGTCATCGCTATCGTCATCGGGAGTGCCATTGAATCCATCATTTTTGCATTCAATACAATCAGCGATTCCGCCGACAAACGCCTCCATGGATAAGAAGAAGCCGTTGAAACGGCCGCGAATGGACGCCCCGAGTATGTGCTCACACCTACCAGTGCTCGACCCATACCCCACACCCCCTCCCCTTTGTTGTCGACCCCCAAACCTCCTATTATTGTTGTGTTAACCCTTTATTTATGAGTTTTTAGTACACGTTTTGCTATGGGTTTGCCTTAATTACAGTATTAATTGATTTTTTCAGTTATTAAATATCAAATGTTTTCTCATTTGACTCGCCTTTCAGTTACGAAAACATTGGTTTTGATTTCACAATTAGTGTACAGTTTTTTTGTTGCAAAAGTTTTTATTTTTGGGAAACTTTTGCTACTCTTTTCTCACCATTTATTGTTGAGTTAATTTGTGTCGTGAACTCCACTCCCAAACCCTCTATACTTTTGGAAATGTGTATTAATTTTTGCATTGAATTTGAATACTAAATGTATGTAATTGTGTTTTGCAGTCGGCGCCCGTTCGGGTCCCATAGCGAACGGCCCAATGCACGCGCGCCCACTCGTGGCCCTATTGGACGGTCGGGACTGTTCTGTGGAGATGCCGATCCTGAAAGACGTGGCGACCGTTGCCTTCTGTGACGCGCAGTCCACGCAAGAGATCCACGAGAAGGTACTGAACGAAGCGGTGGGCGCTCTCATGTGGCACACCATCACTCTCACCAAAGAAGATCTCGAGAAGTTTAAAGCGTTAAGAATTATCGTTAGGATCGGTTCCGGCGTCGATAATGTCGACATCAAAGCCGCCGGAGAAATGGGTCTGTATTCAGCTCTCTCTCTCTCTCTCTCTCTCTCTCTCTGGCTATTTGTTGATTGTTTTACTCGACTTTTGTGTTGTTTTGCTAAGAAATACAATATTATTATTTATTTAAAATTGAAATTAGCTTTAAATCATTAATTTTTTTCTGGTCTCATATCAAGTAATTATTATCACATGATATCTGAAATATGTTTTGATTTTGTTGAGCATTACATTTGTATTTCTACTGTTTTTCTCAATAATCGCTATTCTGTTATATTTCTCGTTAAGACTTCTAGTGTTGACTCTCTATTCAGTGAATTATTTCTGTTTATAATAATCAATAAAAAGTCTGTTCAAAGTTTTTAGCGTTTAGTTTTCACTGCATATAAAAGTAATTGTTTGTTATCTATAGGAATATACGGTATATTATTTTATATAACAACTTACTTTCATTGCCTATCCTATCATCAAATGATTGGCGACTTTACACTTATATTTAGTGCACATAAAATGTGTCTCATTCGCGGTGTCGTGTGTGAGATGTGTATTCATTGTGCAAACAAATCAATAAATGCTTTTCACATTTTTCTTTCATAACTTTATTACTTAATATCAATGTTTATAATGTGTTTGCGTTTGTGTTGACAGGAGTGGCCGTTTGCAACGTTCCCGGCTATGGCGTGGAAGAGGTGGCCGACACGACGCTATGTCTTATACTAAACCTCTATCGGCGCACCTATTGGTTGGCAAATATGGTCCGCGAGGGCAAGAAATTTCAGGGCCCCGAACAGGTTCGGGAAGCGGCCGCCGGCTGTGCCCGCATCCGAGGCGACACATTGGGAATCGTGGGTTTAGGTAATGGATTCATACTTTATTTAAATTTGTTAATTCCCGCATTAATTATACATATGTTTGTTTGTGTGACACCTGTAGGTCGTGTGGGAACGGCTGTCGCCCTGCGAGCGAAGGCATTCGGTTTTAATGTAATCTTTTACGACCCGTACCTTCCGGACGGTATCGAGAAATCGTTGGGTTTGACCCGAGTTTATACACTCCAAGACCTACTCTTTCAAAGCGATTGTGTTTCACTTCATTGTACTCTTAATGAACACAATCATCATCTCATTAATGAATACACTATCAAACAGATGCGTCCGGGTATGTGTCCGCTCAACACGTTCAGCCCCAACCCTTCCCTCCGCTCCCCCTTTCCCACAACTCTTCTCATTTACCCGCTTTCCCTCTTATTGTAAACACTTTTTACATTTAAATTTGTAATCATTTAATATGACTATTGATTAGATAATTATATGTATTTCTGTTTCACAACACTGTTGTATAAAAATGTGATTATCTAATGGATGTGTTGTTTTGGTGACTCCCGTGAACTACAGGTGCCTTTTTGGTGAACACAGCGCGTGGAGGACTGGTAGACGAGAATGCCTTAGCGGCGGCGCTAAAAGATGGTCGCATCAGAGCTGCAGCACTCGATGTACACGAAAACGAGCCCTTCAATGCCTTGTCGGGCATGGCTGGTGAGTCCATTCACTATTACCCCTCCCCTCCTGATCCCCCGCTCTAAGACCCTCTGGTCGTCCCCTTAATGATGGGCTCGTTATCGCCCTCTTTAACCCATACTTATATCCCTCTGTATTAACCCTTTCCGCACATTCCCTGACTGTTTGAATGCTATCGCTTACGAAATGTTTGATTTGATACGAAACATGCATATCAGTGCCAATTAGACTCTAATGTCAAACACTCTCTCAAACTCCCACTTAAAATCATTTCAATCTCTCTTCTCTTCTCATTTGTTTTGATTCCAAGAAAACACTCAAAAAAGACTATTGTTTTTGTTGTTTCTCTTTGCATACAAAATGCAAATTAGCTTTTGTTTTGTTTTCCAACATTTTGTTTGATATAATGTTTTTAAATACTGTTTAATTGCTTACTGTCTTCGGAGTCGTTCATTGCATTTCAATTAATTAATTCACATTTTCTGCACCCTTTTTGAGCCGCTCTTTGTATAAATAGTATTAAATTTGTTGCTTTTTTCTTATGAAATTTTTTCTTTTTCTTTTTTATGCAAAATTTAAACGCAAAGCATTTGTTGTTGTTTTTCTGGCAAATCAAATGCAAAATAGATTGAGAGCTATATATAGCCCGAGAATATGGAAATTATATGTATTTTATATGTTTTTTTTAAATATGAATATAAGCTCTCAAATGATTAGAACCTGTTTAGCACTTCCATGTCTTATGTCATATTGTGTTCGCATCTTATCCTCTCTCCCCTCCCTATCCCTGTCATACGAGAGGCTAAATTGCACACACAGTCTAACCCCCGGTTATAAATACCCACTACTGTGTGTTCATTGAACACAGATGTGTACGCTATAGCGGGTGACAGACTGTGCGTCAGCGGGAGGTCTGCAGGGAGTGAAAGAAGGCACTGATATGCGATTATATGTCCCCAAACTTGTAAAGCCCATACATATGGCAATAATGTGTGACATTAATGGTATATTGTATGTTAGACTCACCGAACGTGATCTGCACCCCTCACGCCGCCTGGTATTCGGACGCCTCGTCGACGGAACTGCGAGAAATGGCCGCCTCTGAGATCCGGCGGGCAATTGTCGGCCGAATACCCGACTCATTGCGAAACTGTGTCAACAAAGAGTACTTTGTGTCCTCCAATTACGGCGAGAGTATTAATGGGTCGGGCAGTGCGTACAACTATACGGGCCCTATAGTGCCCCACTCGACAACGCTGGAGCCGCTGCCGGCGCCCGGCTCTGTGCCCACATCACTGTCCTCAGCGCACGCGACGCCACACTCGACATTACAAGAGGCCGCTAATCATATGACACCCAAACCCGAGAGCTCTGAAGTTCATTGAAATGACAGCAAAAACAACAAAAATATAAAACAAATTTCAAATCAAATCAAAAAACATTTTTCGACAAAAAACTCAAATCAACTCTTCTTTTGTTTGATTGATTGTGCCGTTTATTAATGAAACAAATTATGGAAAATTTTAATTTTTTCGTTTCGTTCCCTCGCGTTCTGTCCCCTCATATCGCTTATGAAATGATTGATAAAAAACTATATATTTCTCTCACACATAAACACTACACAAACTGCTCTTTAGAGACAATTGTTTCCGACATTTCTTCTCTTTTTTGTTTTGTTTTGTGCTTTTTTGTAATTTTTTTGTCGTTTTTTCATAATTCATATTATTTTTGTCTCAATTTTAATGAATTTTTCTAATTTTGATTTTTTACATCAGAGTTAAAAACTTTGTGTTTTTTCTAAGTTTCTTGTGTTTCCGTTTTTTTTTTCGTTTGTTCCCTTCATTCCAACTCTAATTATAGTTAAGATTATTATTATTATAATTATTATTAAACGATATATATCTATATCGACACAATTATCGACGACAAACAACAACTACAAAACCACCACTACTTCGACGATTACATCGCATCCAATGTATCGATAAATTTATTATAAAAACTAAATGAGAAAAACTATTTGGACTTTAAATATGAAGAGAATAACAACTATAATATGTTGAAGAATATGGAAAATAGAGAGACAGACAACGAGATTGCGAGAGAAAGTGAAAATGAGAAAAAAGTCTTTGTATTTGGCATTCAATTTCATAATCAAATCGATTTAATTTGTGTTTTCATTAACTCTTTATATATATAAACACTTATTTAGTTATAATATGTTTAGTATTATTTTCTGTTCATATGGTTCTCAATAAAAGGTTTTTCTTCTTCTTTTTTCTTCTAATAAAATGAGACATTCATTCAAAATCAATGTCTTTTTGTTTGCATTTGTTTTCTATCGGTTTTACCCGTAAGTCCACGTTATATGCCATCCGTCCTATTGGCGCGTCCGCCGTAATCATCATAATGTATACATCATTACTGTATTTGTATAACTGTGTGCCAATATTACCGAGTTTTTTGCACCCATCCCTCCATCCCTTCCTCTTTTATTTCAAACTAAATTAATTTTCATTAAAACCCAAAATTAAATTGAGATTCAAATTTAAATATCGCTTTCGATTGGAAACAAATAACGTCCAGAATTTGTTTAGATTTTGCGCTATTATTGCATGCATTTGTTGCCGGCATTTAACGCACGTATCGTATGAATGGTAAAGCATTGCAGACCTAATGGACGGACACGTGATTTGTTGTGTTATTATTATTTTTGTTGCACTTGTTTTCAATTGATGTCTGCATTTAAATAAGTTTTGAATTCAATTCAACATTAATTAAGAGCCAAATCAAAGGCTGAAGACATCGGGAACCATGTCTTTGGGACTCGTGTTGCGGACCAAACGTCTGGTGACCGCCGAACGGATCAAATGGGTTCAGCTGTTGGTCACATCCGACCGATTCTTGTGCCGTAAATACTGTTTAGCGATCAACGGAAGGGACGGAACCGCTGGTGGCGGACACCGGCGATGGCTGTCTTCCGCGTCAACACCGGCTGAGCCGAAGACAATTGGCCAACAGATCGCACAAAGCGGTGACCAAGTGTTTGAAGAGAGGAGTTATTCGGGCGAAACCAAGTTCTCGATGCCGAAGCCGTTGGCCATCAAACCCATCGAATCGGTGGTACCGAAGAGTCGGGTCGAGAAGATAATCAAATACGAGTCGTTCATTGAGCGCACGTTTTTGGGCGAATTCGACAAAGACTTCCTCACGTATCCAATTCTGCTGAAGAACCGCAAAGAGTACATCCAAATGGCCGATCAGTACCGTATGGTTCGCCAGATGTTCGCCAAAATCAATAAAGACGACCAAACGCTGGACGAGTTGTCGTTCCGGTCTCTCCACGAGTTGACCGTTTCGGAGATGGCGTACGTCTTCGAGGCGATGGGAGCCTCACAACAGAATCGGCTCTCGTTTGGCACCACGAGTGCCGACGACCGGCGCCTATTGAACCCCACCAATGATCAGCGGTTTGTATCCCTTCCCGCCAACCAGTTGTCTACCGAAACAATGGGCGCCAATAAATCAATTGTTGAGCAACTGATTCCACTCATTCTTCATAACGCTTTGTCGTATAACGCGATCACAAACTCGTCAAACGTGTCGCTCAGGGATGAGATACTGGAGAAGAGGCCGAAGATTGGGTTTGCGTACTGCGAGCCGACCGACAATTTGGGTTCACTTCCGTACGTTCATTGGGAAAGTCAGGCCCGACTCAACCACGAGTGCGACCATTGGCTGCTGACGGGCACCAAATCGCGTATATATCACGACAATTACGACTATTATCTGGTGTTTTGCCGGTCGGAAGAGTTCCCGGACGAGCCGATACTCGACCGGCGCGATCAGTACGGAATCGTTACACTACTTGTGCCCAAAGAACAGGTGATAGTGGAAGCGGACGGCACAGACAACTACGGCATTGAGTACCAGAGGATTCGTTTCAACGACTTACTGTTGTCTCGCGATCGACACGAAGTGATCAAATCGGAGACGAGAGCTATACTCGCGCAGAACGTGAAGGCTTGCGGTCAAGTAGTGTCCGGAGCCGTAGTGTTGGGTCTATTGAAACAGTTGTTGCGAAATACGTACGACTTTCTGATCAACGAACGGATCGGTCTCACAGAGTGTGAGTTGACGCAGAAAATACTGGCCGAATGTACGCGAAAGATATACGCCATCGAATCCATGGTATACCTGACGGCAGCCATGTTTGACTCGTTTCAAACGGGCGCCGACTTTTCGCTCGAGTCCAACGCCGTCAAGACTATGGCCACCGAATACGCCTACGATGTGATCAAAAATTTGAGGGCCATTTACGGGTCTCGCTATCCGGTCTCGTCCACAGCTCTCGATCTGATCAACGTTTTTGACTCATTCCTCGACTGTTCGATCAATAATCGCATTTATCTATCGCTGAGAGGAGTCCGCACTCAAGGCAAGTGGCGTCACGACCACATCCGGCGTATGAGACTCGCGCCTCTGTATCCCATATACGCTATGAAGTACTTTATCGGCGCCGTTAAGACTCGTCGCGATCAGATTGACCTCGACTTGGATTTGTGCGGTTATGTTCACCCGAATCTCAAGCCGGCGGCCGAATGGCTCGAGTATTGTGTCAAAAAACTCGATTACGCTTCCAATGCGCTGCTTATGAAATATGGAAAGGTATGCGCTTTCTCTCTCTCTCTCTCTCTCTCTCTACAGCAGAAGTTGAGACAAGAGATTGAGTCCCAAATCGGAGACCGAATGCCAACACATGAGGACAGGAATCGATGCCATTATGTCATGGCTTTCATTGCTGAGACACTGCGGGCCAGAAATGTTGTGCCCTCTGGACTCCCACATAAAGCTATTGTCAATACAAAACTTGGTAATAAATTTTAAATAATACTTTTTATGCATTTTAATATATTAGACGTTTTCATAACAAAATTTTAGATAAATATACAATACCTGAAAATATGGGAGTTTGGGTATATCAGGGAATTGTTTGCTCTAATCATAAAGACTGGCAAAATGAACGTGAATTCAAACCCGAGAGGTTTATTGATAGTGAGGGACATTTCATGACAACCCGTCCCAAAGCCTACATACCCTTCGGTGTGGGCCGTCGTGTCTGTCCGGGCGAAAGGCTGGCCATCGCTGACCTGTTCCTGGTTTTGGTCCGATTTCTTCAATTAACACAAGACTATGAGATAATCCTCGATAGTAACGGCGGTATAGATCCTAACCCTGATATCACCGATCAATTAGCGCCCTGTGCTTATAAAATTAAATTACATAAACGTTAAAATTTTGTGAATTATTTGTATATATTTAATAAAATAAATCGAGGGTTTTTTCAATAATAGTCAACCTAGTTTCTATTGAATGTTTAACACAATTACTTATTGTCAGAAAATATAATTTAAATTGTTACCTCATTTTAATATTTTTTATATTTTCTGATATATAATATTCTTAATAAACGCAAATTAAAGAAATTGTTTTAAATTAACCTGGTGAATTTTTAATAGTTTAGTCAAACTGTAGCTGTATTTATTGAAGTTTAAAAATGTTATGAAAACTATGATAAATGGAATTTATTAAAATTAGTTTTTATATAATTTACATTTAATTGTTTATTAAGCTTTAATTGTAGTGATATTTAATTAAGTTATAAATAAGTATCTTGTGAAATAAAATACTTATTTTGTTTGTTTACAATAATTAATTTAAATTAAATGTTAAAAAACAAAACATAATCAATTTAACAAAGACTTTTATTAATTTTTAAAAATAAAAATTATGTATAGATTGCAAGCATTTTTGAAATAAAGTTTAATTATAAATAATTGCAATTTTGTACATAAATTATATTTAAGTTATTGAACTGCAAACAATATAATTAATACAAAACATCATCATTTCACGTAATAAACAACATTTTAAGTCTAGCCTGTCCTTAATGCACTAGAATTCTATAGATGAAAGTTCTACAGAATATTAGGTTCTTAATTAAACTACTTCTACCAAATAGTATTGTATTGTACGACCAAGGTTATCTCGGTGCAATAACATAAGCATGTTTTGCCACTAAATACAAATATCTGAATTAAAAATAACTTATTACATATTTACTAATTTATATAATTAAATAACTAGAATAGTTTAATTAATGAGGGTTAGTTGATTAATATGTATATAATTTAGTTTATTTATGCCTACATGGTTCTGTCATTTTCTCTCATTAACAAATTGTTGATAAGATATCATGAATAAACTTTTTAAGTGCATCAAGTTTGTTATTATTAACCAACAGTAAAAATTTATCTTCAAGGATAAAGAGATAAGAAATTCAATGTTTTTTGCATATAAAAGCCGTAGAGTATTATTATTTTGTTTGTATTCAAATAGGAAAGCTATAAATATAAACCATTATATAAGTTAAGTTTTATATCGATCAAATATAAATTTAGTTAAACTATGACTTTATTAACAAATATGATGTCACTATTAGTGACAGACATCCGCACGTCTATAATAACCATAACCATCGGTTATATTGTATATAAATTGGCAAGGTTTTATCATTTAAGATCTAAACTACCTCCAGGTCCGCATCCCATTCCGTTATTGGGTAATATATTATGTAAGTAAATCACTACAAAAATATAAATATTGGTTTATTAATAAAAGTTTGATTTTTTAAACAGTATTCAAATGTAAAGATCATTGGGATGTTGTGTTCCGACGAATGGCTAAAAAGTATGGCCCGGTATTCACTATATGGTTGGGACCAAAACCACAAGTGATGATAACTGACATCGATTTGGCCCGAGAGGCCTTCAGGAAGAATGATATGGCCGGTCGTCCCGAGTCTTATTTTGGTAACACATTTATTAACATTGTTTTTATAAATGTAGATTGTTTTAATTCTATTTAAGATGGTTATATATTAAATAATTATCATTAATAGGGTCTCAATTGTCAAACGAAAAATACCAAGACGTGGTGTTTACTGATTACGGACACACGTGGGAGGCATTAAGACGTGTGGCTCACTCGGCACTACAGTAGGCGATAAAAAAATACATCAAGATTTATATAAATGCTAATAATTTTGCAATTTATTTAACAAATGATAGGAAATACTCAGTAAACGAAAGATTGGTTTCTGTGGCCACCGATTGTGTCGACAAAACTGTTAAAACAATTTTTGTTAAGGAAGGAGTGGACAAACCCTTCTCACCCGTCGATTATATTTATTTAATGTTTTTGAATATCTTAGCCACGAGTACTGTCGGACAAAAGTAAGTAATTTTATGCAATATCTAACTTCTAATAATAATATTCAACTGTAAAATATTTAATTGTATTATAACTTTAACTAATTTATAGCTACGATATCGAGGACAAGGAATTTAAACATTTTAAATATGTTTTACGCGATTTTAATCGTGAAGTCGGGAATCGGGTTCTATTGTGGGAATTCTCACCATTAATAAGATTTTTGGACAAAACATTGGTTGCAAAACAAAGAAAGATTTTCAATGAGTCCGTGAATATAATCAAAAAGAAATATATCAAACATTACGACGACTATAACGAGTCAATTGAGAGAGACTTTTGCGATGCACTCATCAGTGCTAAGAATGACGCCCTCAGAGACGGCANATAACGAGTCAATTGAGAGAGACTTTTGCGATGCACTCATCAGTGCTAAGAATGACGCCCTCAGAGACGGCAAAGAGTCCGCACCCTATCTGACCGATGATAACCTCTCGATGACTATTTTTGACATGTTCTTCGCCGGAACCGATACCTCTCAGCAGACATTTCAATGGCTTTTGCTATTTATTTGCTATTATCCAGAAATGCAGAAAAAGTTGAGACAAGAGATTGAGTCCCAAATCGGAGACCGAATGCCAACACATGAGGACAGGAATCGATGCCATTATGTCATGGCCTTCATCGCTGAGACGCTAAGAACAAGAAACGTCGCGCCCACAGGTGTCCCCCATAAAGCTCTTGTTGATACTAAACTTGGTATAATATTTAATTACATAAATACATGTAATTCAGTTTTATTCAACAATAATTTTCTATTACTATTTTAGATAAATACACAATACCTGAAAATATGGGAGTTTTTGTATACCAGGGAATCATTTTACGAAATGATAGCGATTGGGAAAATGCCGATGAATTCAAACCCGAGAGGTTTATTGATAGTGAGGGACAGTTCATCACAACCCGTCCCAAAGCATTCATACCCTTCGGTGTGGGCCGTCGTGTCTGTCCGGGAGAGAAGTTAGCCATCGCTGACCTGTTCCTGGTTTTGGTCCGATTTCTTCAGTCTACACAAGACTACGATATAGTGCTCGACAGTAACGGCGGTATAGATCCCGACCCTAATGTTGCCGACAATATAGCCCCTGCAGAATATAAAATTAAATTGGTTAAATTGTAATTTTTGAATTTTTATCATTTAAATTATTTTACATTTTATATCATTTTTAACAATTTAAAATAATAAAATCATGTACATAATTATTCCAAATAAACGACTAAATATTTTTAAATAAAAATTAATATTATAATTATTTAACTTTAATCTAGATTGTATAGTTACTTATATAGGTAAAATACTAATATTTTAATGAATTTTATATATTTTTTTGTCGGACACAGTTTGCCTATATGGATGTTTATTTTAAAAAAATTGTCGAATAAATTTTTATGAAGTAACCTATCATGTGCTATATATTAAGTAATTTATATAATTAAGTAACTAGAATAGTTTAATTAATAAAGGTTAGTTGATTAATATGAATATACAGTAATTTAATTTATTTATGCCTATATGGTTATGCTATTTTCTTTCATTAACAAACTGTTGATAAGTTATCATGAATAATTTTTTAAGTACTTCAAGTTTGTTATTATTAACAAACAATAATAATTGATTTTCAAGGATAAAGAGATAAAAATTAAATGATTTTTCGCATATAAAAGCCGTGGAGTATTAATATTTTGTGTGTATTCATATAAGAGAGCTATAAATAGAAACTATTATATAAGTTAAGTTTTAAACCGTTTTAGAATATTTTAAGTCAGCTATAAATTTAGTTAAATTTATTATACATAACAAGATGGGTTTTTTATAAAAATTATCAGCAGAAAAATTCTGTGATCATTATACCAAAATATGACTTTATTAACAAATATGATTTCATTATTAGTGACAAACATTTACACGTCTATAATAACGCTAACCATCGGTTATATTGTGTATAAATTGGCAAAGTTTTATCATTTAAGATCTAAACTACCTCCCGGTCCGCATCCATTACCGCTTTTGGGCAATATATTGTGTAAGTAAAACACTGCAAAAAATATTAATATTGTTTGATTAAAAAACGTTTAATATTTTAAAACAGTATTCAAATGCAAAGATCATTGGGATGTTGTGTTCCGACAAATGGCTGAAAAGTATGGCCCGGTATTCACTATATGGTTGGGACCAAAACCACAAGTGATGATAACTGACATCGATTTGGCCCGAGAGGCGTTCAGGAAGAATGATATGGCCGGTCGTCCCGAGTCTTATTTTGGTAACAAATTAATTAAAATTGTTTATAAATATAGATTTTCATCTTATCACTATGCAAAATGGTTATTTATTAAATAATTATCATTAATAGGGTCTCAATTTTCAAACGATAAATTCCAAGACGTGGTGTTTACTGATTACGGACACACGTGGGAGGCATTAAGACGTGTGGCTCACTCGGCACTACAGTATGTGATAAAATAAATGAATCAGGGATATATAAATGCTTATAATGTTGTAATTTATTTGGAAAATGATAGAAAATACTCAGTAAATGAAAGATTGGTTTCTGTGGCCACCGATTGTGTCGACAAAACTGTTAAAACAATTTTAGATAAAGAAGGAGTGGACAAACCCTTTTCACCCATTGATTACATTTATTTAATGTTTTTGAATATCTTAGCCACGAGTACTGTCGGACATAAGTAAGTAATTTTATGCAATAACAAACTTTTAATAATAATATTTAATTGTAAATAAATATTAAAATTGTATTCAATTTAAACTAATTTATAGCTACGATATCGAGGATAAGGAATTTAAACATTTTTTATATGTTTTACGCGATTTTAGTCGAGAAGTCGGGAGTCGTGTTATATTGTGGGAATTCTCACCATTAATAAGATTTTTGGACAAAAAAATGGTTACAAAACAGGAAAAGCTATTCATTGATTCCATTGATATCATCAAAAAGAAATATATTAAACATTACGACGACTATAACGAGTCAATTGAGAGAGACTTTTGCGATGCACTCATCAGTGCTAAGAATGACGCCCTCAGAGACGGCAAAGAGTCGGCCCCTTATCTCACGGATACCAACCTTTCAATGGCTATTTTTAACATGTTCTTCGCCGGAACCGATACCTCTCAAATGACATTTCAATGGGTTTTACTATTTGTTTGCTATTATCCAGAAATGCAGCAAAAGTTGAGACAAGAGATTGAGTTTCAAATCGGAGACCGAATGCCAACACATGAGGACAGGAATCGATGCCATTATGTCATGGCTTTCATCGCAGAAACAATGAGATACAGAAATGTTGTGCCCACCGGTGTTCCCCATAAAGCTCTTGTTGATACTAAACTTGGTATAATTATTTATTACTTAAATACATACATTTGTAATTTAGTTTTATTCAACAATAATTTTCTATTAATATTTTAGATAAATATACTATACCTAAAAATATGTCAGTTATGGTATACCAGGGAATCATATGTCGTAATGACAAGGATTGGCAAAATGCCGATGAATTCAAACCCGAGAGGTTTATTGATAGTGAGGGACAGTTCATCACAACCCGACCCAAGGCCTACATACCCTTCGGTGTGGGCCGTCGTGTCTGTCCGGGAGAGAAGTTAGCCATCGCTGACCTGTTCCTGGTTTTGGTCCGATTATAAAATTATCCTCATTATCCTAGCTACACTAGAAGTATCAATAGTTGTAAAAATAGCAAACAAAATGTAGAATACCCTTCGGTGTGGGCCGTCGTGTCTGTCCGGGAGAGAAGTTAGCCATCGCTGACCTGTTCCTGGTTTTGGTCCGATTTCTTCAGTCCACACAAGACTATGATATAGTGCTCGACAGTAACGGTGGTATTGAACTCAACCCAAATACACCCGAAACCTTGGGTCCTCCAGATTATAAAATTAAATTGGTTAAATTTTAATATATTAAATTTTTGTCATTTAGATCGTTTTACATTTGATATCAATTTTAACAATTTAAAATAATAGAATCATGTACATAATTAATACAAGTAAACGACTAAATATTTTAAAATAAAAATCAATATTATAATTACTTAACTTGAATCTAGATAGTGTTTTAATAGTTATTGGTTGAATAATATTTTAATAAATTTTATATTATTTTTATTTGACCAATTGTTATAGCTTCGCGATTGTAATCTATGAATGATGTTAATCAGCCCATATTTATCTACATTATATTACATACATTATAATCGTAATATTATAATACTGTTCAAGATAATTTTTAAAATAAATTTATATTAGGTTTTGTCGATTACTCTTTGTATAAAATGCAGGCATTGTTGACCTGTTCTTCATTTTTATCCAATCTCGAGTCCGCACAACACTATCATATAGTAATTTACCCGACGGTTACTGTAGTATAGATCCAAAACCTAATGTCATCACAATATGTGGATCCAAAATATAAAATTAAATTAATTAACTTATATTCTATATTATAGAATCTATACATTGGTATATCATTTTATAAGTATTTTTGTCGTATTTTGACATTAATTTTAATATTGTTTTGTATATTTTTTAACATGTATTGTTTATTTTGAATTTAAAGTTACGAGTAATTTTATTTGACATATGTTAATTGTAAACATCATATCTAATATTTTTCATATTAAAATTTTCTACTATATAAAGTGAACTGTTAACTTGGTGCAATCTAAGATTACACAAAAACATAAATTATTATACAAAACTTATAAATGAGTTTTAAGTTTATACTGCCCTTTGTGTACTAAAAGTATATGCAGTACTGCACAGTGCTATAGTACAAAGATAGTAGCAACAACTTATCTATTAAAACACATATAATTAATAACAGCCTTGAATGATAATGAGAAAAATATGTAACTTCTTTGTATATAAAGTCACTGTCGATTAGTTAATGTTTCATTTAATTAAGTTATAACTTGTGTATAACTAAAGTGTATAACCTTAATACAAATTCGACCAGCTTACATTTAATTTGCAAACTTGCCTTTTAAATTAACATTATTTAAACTTAAATCTATAATATATTAATTTTGACTAAATATGTTTTTATTGACAAATTTAATGTCACTATTGGTGACAGACATCCGCACGTCTATAATAACGCTAACCATCGGTTATATTGTGTATAAATTGGCTAAATTTTATCATTTGAGATCTAAACTCCCTGCCGGTCCACTCCCATTACCGTTTTTGGGCAATATATTGTGTAAGTAAACCACATAAAAATATTAATATTGTTTAATTAATAAATGTTTGCTTTCATAAAACAGTATTCAAACGGAAAGATCATTGGGATGTAGTGTTCAGAGAACTGACCAAAAAATACGGCCCGATATTCACTGTCTGGTTGGGGAATACCCCTCAAGTGATGATAACTGACATCGATTTGGCGAGAGATGCCTTCAGGAAGAATGATATGGCCGGTCGTCCCTCACCCGCCGAGTCTTATTTTGGTAATTATTAATTATTATTGTAAATAATTATTATATAATATTTTTAATGCTGGTTATAATGATAAAACAGGGTCTCAATTGTCAAATGAAAAATATCAAGATGTGGTGTTCACTGATTACGGGCCTCAATGGGAGGCGTTGAGACGAGTGGCACATTCAGCCGTACAGTATGTCATAAATAAACTTATAGTTTATAAAAATCCATTAATTTTAATTATTGTTTCTAAAATGATAGAAAATACTCAGTAAACGAAAGATTGATTACTGTGGCCACCGATTCAGTCGATCGTACGGTTAAAGCCATGTTAGACAAGGAAGGAGTGGGAAAACCTTTTTCGCCCATTAATTATATTTATTTAATGTTTCTAAATATATTAGCCACGAGCAATTTCGGAGAAACGTAAGTTATCTTTTTCAATATATATGATATTAAAATAATAATACATTAAATTTTAACAACATTTAGCTATGATATGGAGAACAAAGAATTTAAACAATTTAAATATCTTTTACGGGACTTCGCTAAGGAAGTCGGGCCTCGGTTTCTAATGTGGGAATTCTCACCGATTGTCAGATTTTATGACAAGAAATTGGTTACAAAACATAAACGTTTATTCGCGGAGGCGATTGATATCGTTAAAGGAAAATATACTAAACATTACGACGACTATAACGAGTCAATTGAGAGAGACTTTTGCGATGCACTCATCAGTGCTAAGAATGACGCCCTCAGAGACGGCAAAGAGTCGGCCCCTTATCTCACGGATACCAACCTTTCAATGGCTATCTTTGA